CCACCACCCACCCTTTCCTTTCGAAGGGTGTGGGGGCACCAGACTCGGCGGCTGCAGTGAGAGGCCTCTGCCCGGGCAGGACGCGGGGACCCTGCCCACTGCTCCCCCGCCGCACCCCGGCGCCAGGCGGCCCCACCTTTCTTCCTGGCCAGAGTGATGATGTCGGCCGCGCTCTTGCTCATCACCTTGGTGATGTACACTGGGCAGTTGATGCGGCCGGCGATGGTGATGGCCCGGAACACGGCCTCGGCCTCCAGCTGCGGACGCACACGGGTCAGGGGAGGGAGGGGTCAGACGGCGCCCCCAGCGCCCCCCACCCCCGGGCAGGGGAGGGCGTGGTCAGGGAACTCCACTCCAGCAAAGGAAGTGGGGCAGGTCAAAACCAGAAAATGGGGAGTCCAGACGCAGCTGGTGGGGCTGAAAGGCAGGGCCGGGCCCTGCTTGCTGGGCAGCACCTTGCGGCGGCCAGGATCAGGCACCCAAAGGCAGTGTACGGCCCGGCGCGGCTCTCCCGCCGGACCCCGCCGGGCTCAGGGCCAGGGCCAGCGTGCACGCGCGGGCGGGCGGGACCTGCGCTCCAGGCCCGGTCACCAAGCTCTCAGAGCCCCGGGAGGGTCTACCGGCCTGGTCCCGGCCTCCGGGCACGGAACCTCTCTGGGGGTCCTCGGCCTGGCTGCAGCCGCCCGGCACCGAGCCAGAGGGCGGCTGTGCTGGACACTCGGGGGCGGGGGCGTCGCGTGATGCCAGGGGTGTCGGGTCACACCGGCAGGCCCTTACCTCCTCGGGTCTGCTCAGGGCGTGGCCCTCGGGCCCCGTGATGCCCATCTCTAGGATCCGCTTCTGTTCCTGCAAGGCAGGGCAGCTGGGTCAGCGCTTGAGGCCACCTGGGCGAGGCTGAGCTTCACACCAGGGCGGGCAGTGGGTGGCCGCGGCCAGGAGACCGCGGCTCCCGTGAGCTCCCACGGCAGGTGTCTCCCTCTACCCCGAGTCCAGGCTGCAGGGCAGGAGACGGAGGTGACGCTGGTGGGAACGGCAGAGGGTCAAGGGCCCGAGGCCAGAGTCCAGCTGGGTCCTCCGCCCTGGGGCTCCGGGCGGGCGGCCACACTCTGCCTCGTCCTGTCACGCTCCCGGCGTCCCCGCCGAGCAAGGAGGAGCCCCAGCAGGCACCCCGCTCATCACAGCGGCTGGCGGACGGGCGACGGTTTCCCCTGGGGGCGGCTGCTTCCTGGGGCGCCCCGAGCCGTGAGACACTCCCTGAGCAAAGGGCCCAGAGTCACCGCCCCTACTATTTGCGCCCCAGCGCCACTTGCATTTCCCAAATTTCTTTTTTAATTTGCAGTCGGCCAGATGACGCCTGCCACCACCAGGCGTCCCAGCCCAGCCGCGTGTCCAGGGGCGCGGGGCCTGGGCGGAAGCCATTTCGAGGTCAAGCAGCAGAGGGGTTCAGCGCCCCGGACGGGCCCTGCTCCTGGAGGTGCCGGTGACCGAGATGTGACGAGTTGGGGCTGGCTAGGCGAGCTGCTGTTTCTGGGGAAGGGTGGGGGGCGAGGTGACCCCGTGGGAGGAGGCCGGCCCCCACCAGCCCAGAGTCGGGTGCGGGGTAAAGGCCGTGGCTCAGCAGGGGCCATTTCCGCTCCCTGTGAAGCCCCTGCACGCACAGCAGGGGAGGCGGGAGGCAGGAGAGAGCCGGACGCCCGCCGGCGGGCAGTGGCCGGCGCTGGGGCTGTCACGGGGGGAGCAGATGTGCTAACGCCGAGAAAGCTGTGTGCCAGCCTGGTGCGATGGAGGGCGATGACCACCCGGGCCCAGCCGGGACCAGACAGAGGGCGATGACCACCCGGGCCCAGCC